TAGTGAATAGTGCATAGTGTAACATACGTATGTTATGTTACTTGTTAAGTACACTTGATAAGAATTGCAATAAACTAAATTCTTTGTTTATCAACAAGATATAAAGTTTCTACGGCAGAATATTGATCAATTAGTTGTATATAAATGCAATACAATAAATATATATTTTATTTAACAATAAAAAGTATTGACTTAATTTATAAAATATAATAATTATTAAAAATAAGCAAGTATGTCATATATGCAATATATGCAACTTGAATTAATATTACAACTGTGACAATTGAAATTAATCTATTTTATAAATTATTTTACAGTATAGCAAAACAGCAAATGGACCCTGATACAGATTTACCTCGAGTGGTGGCTTTAGAGCAATACGATGGCGACGGGTTTATGCACCTGATCGCTCAAGACAGCACCGGCCGTGTATTTAATGTGGCCCGAGAGAAATATGTGAAAAACCTGGAGTTGTTATTCAACCTTCCGTTTCAACGCATTTCGTCCGATAACTCGGATCCGAGTCTACAGAGAGTGAGGATTACTAAAGAGAAGACACCGGAAAACACTAGACTTATAGTCGACGCCAACGATAAACCCGTGGCTTATGTTAAAGTCCAGTATTGAAAGTTATTGCGATCATGGTGACATAAAAATAATATATATATATATATAACATCCTACTTTGAAATGTTTTATTTAAAATAAAATGCTTAAGTTATTTTCATTTGATTTTCTGTTATTAAAATATATGCAAATATATGGGTTTTTTTTAATTTGATTAACATTATTCTTGATGTTAAATGTAAACGTACATTTATGAAAGTGTCTTCATAAGGTATTTTATACAAATGTACTTTTTGTTTATACTGTACTATCTATTTTAATTGTTATAACTCTTTAATCAATATGGTTTAATAATTAGACTGCCATCGAGATAAGATGGTGTTATGGTACACAAATGCTATCATGTTCCATAAATAATAATTTATTAAATATAATTAAGAAAAATAAAATAAAATTATAACTTAGAAAATTATACAAAATAATAAAATTATAAATTATTGTAACCTGTTAAAATAACATGAAATTGTTGGGTCATAGTGTTTAATCTTGATCATTTAAAACTGGACTCTAACAAAGGCCACGGGTTTATCGTTGGCATCGGTTATAAGTCTCGTGTTTTCCGGTGTCTTTTCTTTAGTAATCCTCACTCTCTGTAGACTCGGATCCGAGTTATCGGACGAAATGCGTTGAAACGGAAGGTTGAATAACAGCTCCAAGTTTTTCACGTACACCTCTCGGGCCACATAATAGGCACGTCCGGTGCCGTCCACTGCCACCAACTCCATAAAGTTGTCGCCATTGTATAACTCTATGGCCACCACTTCAGGCAAATCATTGCCAAATGGCATACAATTGACATACGCTATGGATTTAATAGGAGTTTATCAAATTAAATACATATAAAACTAATTATAAATTTTACTTACCACATGCGAAAATTAGAACAATAACTGCGAATGTAGACATGTCGAATTTTGCAATGTAAATATTAAATATTGTGTGTTTTTATTGATTAATAATAATCAATGATTACTGTAGGTTATGAATTAATTTGACAATCTTAAGCTATATTTATATAAAAATAACAGATTGTATTTTATTGAAATTTTCTCACTACTTACCACGGCACATAATTATCGATTATGTAAGCATATTAATCAATGAGTCATTTATATTAGTATAACCAGTAGTGTTGCCAACTCGCCACTATTTAAGTGGCAATGCCACTATTTTGGGGCTGTGCCACTATAAATTAAAGGTCAAATAGTGGCAGAGAAATAGAAATACTACTATTTTTGGAGATAAAAATTTAATAAATATGATAAATGAGTACTTTTTAGATATAAGTCAACTCAAAGTTTAAAAAACTGCTGTATATTACATTGATTGTTAAGAATAGTTAAGTATATAACAATAAAGTACAATTGATTATACGAGATTGTAGATGTATTAGTATATTTGCCACTATTTTTGCCAAATATAATATGCCACTATTTGTCCACTATTTTTAGGCAAATTTATATGAAATTGACACTATCATAAAATATCGAGTTGGCAACACTAATAACCAGTATAAAAATTATTGTTACAACTATGGGGTAAACCTAATAGGGTAGCTTTAGATTGTTAATAAGCCATATGTGTTTACAACTAAATTCGTTTAATAGACCAAGGTATTATACGATAGTTATATTTCCTATTCCACTTGCAAATAACTAGAAATACTGGTATATGTCAGAAATTATGAGCTTATATATTCTGTTGTACAATATGTTTATTATATTTATGGAAATTATAGACATGGTATTTTTATTTTTTGTAGACACATTAATTAATTTATTGTTAGTTTATAAAAGAATTTATAACATAATATAATTTTTATTAATAAATTATCAAAAGCATTTTGTGTTTATTGTTTTGATTAAATTAATTTCACTTAAACTTATTGTATTAAATTAATAACAATTTTTATAATAAAAAAATACAAAGCAAATAATATTTTAATTATCATACTTAATTATTATTCTGGTTGTTTTGCAATTTGTTAGTGCAATACACATTTAATTTATAGTAAAGTATATAAAACATTTGAAACATTTTTGTAATTAATATATCTTTATTGAAATATTTAATAAACAGATATGTATTATAAAATAATTGTTAGGTTATTATGTTTGATGGGATGTGTGTATCAAACGTATAAAATAAGTGAATTATACTTTTCATACGAAACCACAACTAATGTAAACTTTAAATGGCTGGCAAAATCATTGTTTCCCGGAATTACAATATGTTTCCGAAAAAATTATGTAATTAATAATTCTACTAATATTGATAAAATAAACATGCTTAAAGTTTCCGAACAATTGACGTATATTCATAACAAAAACATATTTAGTAAATGTAAAATAGCTCGACAAAATGGCAGTTATGATAACTGTAACACGGTGGCCAGTTACCAGTTATCAATAAGTTACTTGTTTGTTTGCATTACATTATTCAGCCAATGGGCCAACGAGTCTGACTCTGCTTACCATATCTATCCTGGTTATATAAAACGTGATACAAGCAATTTCCTAATAGATATTAGTCTTAAAAACAAATCTATTGTTAACAACAATTACATATTGTTATCAATACATTCACGACGGGAGAGGTTATATAAATCACGTACATCTGACTCGATTTACCTAATTATAAATAATAAGGATTATGCTATTGTTAAATATACGGAACGAGTGTTTCAAGATATGGCCAATTCATGCACTTATCGCTTAACCCGTAGACAGTGTATAAGCGAATGCAAAATTAAATTATGTCAGCGGAAATTGCGGGAATTTCCCGGTGAATTCCAGAACTATCTAACCCTTAACCAAAATATGCGTATCGGCAATAACATGACCGCGTGTTTAATATATGATCCAATATGCGAACAACAATGTAATAATAAGATATACTGTACTAACTATTACTATACAATAAATAGCAACCTGCGCGAAATGAAACGTGTACATGGTCAATTTAGCGATTCGTTTCGTTTATTTGTGGAATTCCCGACACAACCGACTATTGTATACGAAACTAGTTTTAAAATGTATTTCGAGGAGTATTTGTGTCTTATGGCCAGTATATTAAGTCTATGGTTTGGTTTCGATGTTATCATGTTTACTCAATTTTCTAAAACATCATTATTAAAATTAAGGGACTTATTTGTTAAGATGATTAATAATTTCATTTTTATTCGATATAGAATTAATCAAGTGAATAACAGTAATAACGTTCAACTTTTATTTAACTTGCGACTAACCCATAGATAAGCTTAAATTAGTTATTAATATAAAAGTGTAATAAAGTAAATTTAAAATAATTAATGTATATATTTGTGTGAATTTTAAACTTATTTTAAAATCTAACTACATTTTGTATTATAAATTGCTTTAGAATAAAATCTATCATAATTAATTGTTATGTTTGTGTTTTAGTGTAATTATTACGTTAATTCTTTATATTTTATTGATACAAGTATATAATTTTTAACAAATGATGTATTTAATATGTTGCTTGTAAAATAATTAATATAAATATTTTAATTTAAAACTTTAAATTTAATTATATAAAGTTTATTTAGTCATATTTATATGTAAATATAGTGTTTGTTATAATCTAGGCTGTGATCTCAACGGTTTTTCAAGTATAAATGCACTCATAAAAAATTTTGCAACTAAACAAAAAACAAATAAAAGTTTTTAAGTTTCAAAAAATAATTTTTATACAATTTTATATTTCATGTTGAAATTTATGTACATATTGTGATGAACAACGTGTCATTATCATCACTAGAGTTATCATTGCATTGAACACAACATTCAACAGATTTTATTGTTTTAATTGTAATTGTAATTGATTTATTTCAATTTAATCAGCGGTTAAATCAGCGGGTCAAATACAAAAGTAAGATGTAATTTTGATCGCCTCCGTGCACTATGATTAATTTTATTATTTTTAATTACTAAGGTTTTTAATGTTTTTAATTGAGTTTAATTTTATTTTACTTATTGTGATTAAATTAGTGTTTTAAGTTATTTATTAAAATGCGTTTAAAATTAATAAATGTTTCGTTGATTGAAATGATTTGCAAATTAAATGCAATGAAGAGTTTGTGTGAAATAATAGACAAAATGCAGTGTATTTTGAATACAAATAATAATGTTTTGTGTGAAGCGATTGAATGCTAAAATAATAATTATTTTTCAATCAATCAAACAATTGATTGCAATTCATGTAAAATCAGTGATAAAATGTTAAACAATTGTCATTATTTTACGAGAAATGCGGAAAACATTTGCCACCATAAGTAATAATTACATGGTCGGGAACCTGGTTACAAGCATCGTTTATTTATGCAAATAATTATGAACTAATAGTTGGTACGGCTACAAAACCACCAAATAAATCAATTATTAATCTCAAAACATTCATTAAAAATGAAAATCTTAAACCTCAGATAAGATTTGAAAAAATTTGATATATTGACTAAATCACTGGTTGAGCTTCAAACTCAGGAAATGTCTGTGAAACAACAAACTGATATTATTAAAAAGGTTTATCAAAAGTTAGATAGTATCAGTATTAATAAAGAAAAATATTACAGTTTATTAAAATTAAAGAACTCGTTGGATAAAAATCCTAATTTAGTGTTTTACAGAGATTCCTGTAAATCAATCCAAAAATATGCACCATTAACGACTGTTGATGTTGAGAGATCATTTTCTCAGTTTACAGATATGTACGCATTTAACAGACGATCATTTACCGAAGAAAATATTGAAAAATATATATATGTTAAATATAATCAACTTATTTAATTTTAATTACTAATGGTTTTAACTATAATTCTAAGAGATTTTATATCAAGGATCACTTGGCCCATCCCCCACACTATCTCTATAGCATGGCATCCCAGATTAATTCCATGGCTACTTTATCATGTAATTTATGTTTTTATAAGTAATGTTAATTCTATGGTATAAGTCTATGGCAGTGTTTGTATTATTATTACATATTATTGCATTGTAATCTATGTTTATCAATAACTGTATTCTGTCATTTAAACTTTTTGATTAAAATTGTCTTGTTTTGAAATTATAGTTAAGAATCGAATTATTCAAATATTAAAATATGTTGTTTTTAATTTGTTTTTTGTTTTGTTTTGTTTATTTGTTTAATTGAAAAATTAGTTTTTTGAGTGCATTTTTCCTGGAAAAACCGTTGAGATCACAGCCTAGGTTATAATACAATAAAAAAAATTCATTTATAATAATATTTTAATTAAGAATATTTATTATGTATTAATTCTGCTAAAAAATTCCCACTGGTTTTTAATCCATTTAATTTTATTACAACAATTGACATGCGCATCCTTTAATGAAGATTTTAATATCAGTTTTATTTTAAATTGATTAAGCTTATTAAATATAATATTATTGTTATAATAATTGTGTAGTTTTATACATAGATCTCTAGCTATATCTGTAAGCATTACTACAAAAAGGCTGAACCAAAGGCTCACAACATTAGAAAATTATACAAAACAATAAAATTATACAAAACAATAAAATTATACAAAACAATAAAATTATACAAAACAATAAAATTATAAATTATTTTAACATGTTAAAATAACATCAAATTGTTGGGTCAAAAGTAAAGATACCTCTATGATTAAAAACTGGACTCTAACAAAGGCGACGGGTTTATCGTTGGCATCGGTTATAAGCAGTGCTTGCCAAAGTCTCAAATAGGTAGACGTGATTAATTTTTAAGTTTGGTAATCTATCATACATTACTCACGATAAATGTTACGTTTTTAGTAATTATAGTCTACCTTTTAGTAT